GGGCGGGGGAAGGGAGCTGGAACCGGTTCTAAACGGCACTGTAGATTTGTGGAAACTCTTCTATAGAAGAGGTTAGAACTGGCAGGAACCCACCCCTGACCCAAGCCATTCTCAAGCTCCATCTTACTTTTTCCTGCTCCTTTCCCCACAGCAGACTGGATCCTATTCTGTTCACTGTCTGAAGACTGGCATAGTCTTCTTGCAGACCGGAATAATCCTGACTCTCTTTACATCATTTATTTTTCATTTTCTTTTTGGTTAGGAAGAATAAAGATAAGTTTACTGAGTGAACTTTCTCTGCGCTCCTTAATACCTAGAGATTTCTGTTGGGGAATTTGTGAGTTTGCAGAAATTTTGTTATGGGATGGAGTATGTGAAATAATTCAGTTGATACTAACAGATTTGTATATGGGATACAAAAATTTAATTTAAAAGCAATTTTTAAGAGGGAGAAAGCCAGATCTACACAAATGCAGCCATAGTCATGATCCTTCCCACCAAAAATTTAAATTCCCATGCTCCTAATAGCAAAAACACAGAGTGGATTGTGTTTCTTAGAATGTCCACAATGACTGCAAAAAGTTTGAGAAACACTATCCGTGCATATGGCAAATCAGGGGAAGTGGCCAGAAAAGGAATATCCATATTATCTACCTAGGAATATCCATATTATCATTACAATTGGCTTTTTAAAACTTCTGTGTCTTTTACAATTATTATGTTTTTAACACCACCCAGAGAAATTCAGTATTATGCAGTCAGAATAATAAAATGAGTGAATAAGTCAAGGTGAGGTTAAACCATTTTGCCAACAGTGCAAAACTGAAATGCATATGTTTACTTAATTCTGAGTGTTTAGAATTGTTATAGTTAGAAACAAACATGTTTGTTATTTACCACCAGTAGATTTAGTTCTCTACCTTTTTCTTACAGCTGACATACCTTCCACCTCCATGGGGTGAGTGCCACTCCTCAGATTTCGGCCTGGAGTTTTTTCCCATCTATAGCATCACTGCATGCAGGATCAGTTGTGAGACCCGCTACGTGGTAGAGAATTGCAATTGCAAAATGGTTCACATGCCAGGTATGTCTTTTGAAATGAGTTCTGCCAGAACACAGAATGCATGTAGAAACTATTTTTTTTAAAAAAAAAAGAAACTATCTTTGAACTCTCCAACTCATCTGGAGATAAGTGGCTCTAGAGATAATTGTGGTTTGTTTTGCATTCATCTTTCAATCTCTTCTTACATTCAGGTTATCACTAAAAGGGCTATTTTTCAGTAACCAAGTCAAATGCTCTCTAGGGCGCAGCACAAAGAATTCAAACATTAATCACTCAGATGTGGTTTCTACTGTTAATAATGTTATGTTCCTCAAAATACTAGTGTATTAATAATAGAGGTTTGTTTTCCAATCTGAAACAATTGGAATAAACCTTTATAGCTAGATATAAAGAGCTTTTATATCCAATTATTACAGAGCTTTCAAAATATGTGCCTGATTTTTTATTTCAAATGTTTTCCTGCCTTCATTTTATTAGTTTTTAGAGACAAGGAGGCAAAAACACTGTTTTTGTGTAAATCTGCATGCTTTAAGCTGTACACAAGGATAAGCCCTAATAAATTCATTTTTAATAGTAATTGTTTAAGATATTATAAATTGCAGCAGTAAAAACTAATACACATTTTAAAAAATTAAGAATAAAAAGAAAAAAGCAGAAACTATAGAAAAGAAAAAAGGAAAAAATAGGAAGAGAAATAAAAAAGGAAGAATATGTAGAAAGAAGAGAAATGCATAAGTGATTATCTACTTCATCACAACTAAAAACAATTTTTGTAACTGATCATCTCCTTTTAAAATACAACAAATGACCTCCTCTTCTTATATCCCATCTTTTACCTATAAACAAATCCATTAAAGACAGTCTTTCCAATCCTGGTGTCAGAAAATATCCATTAAAGGCTACCAGAAATATCCTATCTATTTTTATTTTGATCAAATAAACCAACTTTATATTTCTTCCTTTTACTTCTAACAATTTTAATCTTTAGTTCATTGAAATAATGTCAATGCTTTTTTTATTATTATTATTTTCTCTCTCATGGGATTCTTAAAACTTAAGAGTTTAGCAAAACTCTTTTGTAAAGCCAATATAGGAAAATATCCAGATCTCTTTCTTGGTTTATTGTTTGCATATCGCTTTTAATTATTAACACATAAGCTGGTTGCTTTTTTATGTCTAGTGCAACATCTTTCTTCTTATCATTCTCAGCCTCAATATTGTCAAGTAGAATTTGTTCTTCTTCTCTTAGACACAATCTTCATAGAGGCAAATGTCTCTGCTGACACGATTAAAACTAACTTCTGAGACCATTGTTCAAAAATGTTTATTTATCTAATTTTATCTCATTTATCTAATCCCATATAATTTACCAAATTTTATCTCATTTTTATAACCATCCACCTCACAAGCAAGTGATTCTCACAATATACAACAAAAATATCCTTCAATATATCCAATGTTCTGTAATTTTACATTGAATGTATCTTCTCCTTTAATCTTGAAGTCCCTTTAGTGTCCAGTTTTTAAAAACTTATTTTTTAATCAAGCCAAAAAAAAAAATCCACAGTAAAGCCTAATGAATTTGATGGGGCTTATTTTAGATAAGCATTTAGGAAATGATGCAGTTATCTTTCTAACAGTAGTGTTTGATTTCACAGATAAATGTTAATTGTGACTGTTCATCTGCATAGATGCATGAAAATTGTTGCATAAAGTCATGCACATATTCACACTCATGCGTACCTACATCTCCCAGATCTCTATAAACAGAGTAGTTTCCACACTGAATGCCCTTCATGCTTTCCTTATTCAAATCATAATGCTCAAAACTCACAAACAGTTGTAGACTGTTAGGAATCCAATCATTTTGAGAAAGGAGAAAACAAGAAGAGACATATGCACCCATCTTCTTCCATTATATTAATGTGACAGTGCCAACAAAGGAAGAAAGAAATCAGGGAATGCAATACTCATCCCTGGAATCTCTAATTGCCATGTTTCCCTTGGGAATTTTGATTGCCACTATGTGATTGAAACCTGCGAGTGCTTTTCCTAAGCATTCTAGAAAGAAAGCCATCATTTCTAAGATTATAATAAAAATGACCCCATTTATTTTATACAGGGGATGCTCCATTTTGTACACCGGAGCAATATAAGGAGTGTGCAGAGCCTGCACTAGGTAAGTTCTTATACCATCAGGACGGTTTATTTCTTCTAAGCTGAAAAGGATCACATTTCAGACTGGGAATATATTGTTACAGAATAGTATTAGAATGAAAGTTCCTCTGCATACACACAGACGGTGTCTTTCACACAATCAAGCAAATACCAGTTTCCCCCTTAAAGGTGGATTTGTGCAAACCTTTCATAGAAATTATATGACTCAGTTGCAATGTAACTTGTTTTCCCAGAACTTCCTTCGTGTGATGGCCCTTGGGGAAAACTGGGAAGAATCTGAAATTTGTACAAGTTCCTCCAAGTTCATGTTTAAATTTGCAGTGCCCAAATTAACTTTTTCTTCTCAGTTGATCTAAGGAGGTGAACGTTTTTGCCTTGAAATTCATTAGAAACATGTACTATAAAATCCCAAAGGTGCTTTTTCAGGAGGCAACTGGACTTTCATATTTTTTTTCTTTTGAAGACGTTTCACTTTTTGAATTGAATTTGAATTGAATTTATTTCATTTATATGCCGCCCTTTTCCCCAAAGGGGACTCAGGGCGGCTCACAATCCAAGTCAAGGGAAGGGGTATAAATAAAGAATAAAAAAGACGAACAAAACAATACACAATTTAAAAAGCACACAACAACCATACCATTCAGGGGGGGGGCAAAAGGTCTTTAGCCCCAGGCCTGTCGGAATAGCCAGGTTTTAAGGGCTTTGCGGAAGGCCTGGAGGGTGGTGAGGGTTCGAATCTCCACGGGGAGCTCGTTCCAGAGGGTCGGAGCAGCCACAGAGAAGGCTCTCCTCCGGGTAGTTGCCAGTCGGCATTGGCCGGCTGATGGAATTCGGAGGAGGCCTAATCTGTGGGATCTAATCGGTCTATTGGAGGTAATTGGCAGCAGGCGGTCTCTCAAGTACTTATCCAAGAAGCTTCTTCAGCTCTAAAAAGATAGTGGGGAATGAAAGGATTTATATTCCTTGAAGGCAGTTACATACTTTTAGAGGGTTGTTGAAGCCCTTGAAGGTTTATCTGTCTCCTCAGGGTCACCTGAGTAATGGTGGTAATAGACTGGTTCCTGTAGTCTACAATTTTTCCTCCTGAAAATCCATTCCTACTCCCACACAATTCAAAGGGTGTTCATCCCAAATTGTATAGCTAAAAGTCTGTAGAAAACATCCTTAGAATGATGTGAGAGTAGAAGTGGATTTCCAAAGAAAAAAAAATGCAGACTACAGGAACCAGGAGTACTACTCAGGTGACCCGGAGGACACAGATAAACTTCCAAGTGCTTCAGCGACCCTCTAAAAGGATACAAATAATCAGCTGTCTGCTAGGAATATAAATCCTTCTGTTCCCACTATCCTGTCAGAGCTGAAGAAGCTTCTTGGATGAGAAGCGAAATGTCTTCAAAACAAAAAACAAAAAACTCCAGTTGCCTCCTGAAAAAGCACCTTTGAGACAACAATGACCTGGATGAGAATCTCTACAGAAATGTACTGTAAAGAATTTTCATCAAGACAGAATTCAAAAGCAAGATTTTATTTTTGACATTTCAACTTGGTGAATACCTCTGGCTAGCTGCACTATTAACATGGTATTTATTTAGATTCAAATCTCACTCATTCTTCTATAGTATCTTCGTTGATGTAGGGGTTTGTTCCATAAGGCAGATGATTTCTGGGGAAGGAAAGGAAAGGATTAGGCACTCATCAGCTCTGTTTAACACTATAACTTCCCAAAGCTGATTTGTTCTTTTGACCTCGGATCAGTGCATGTTGAACTCGAAATGGAGTGCTTTAAGCTTGGGATATTTCAAATGTGAGCCTGGCACACATTTGGAATGATAAGGGCAGCTGTTTCAAATATGGCATTTCGCATTCTGAATGTAAATCAGATGTTTTTGAGTTTGATATATATTAAACATGGAATAATTTGTAAATTTCTGTTTCATTTTTAAAGTTACATACAGAGCATGGACTATAATCTAAGAAGAAATTTTCATATATTACTGGGGGAAAAAACCCAGGGAAGGCAGAGGTTATTTCTGGCAGCAAGCTCACTATCACTACAGCATATAAATTGGACTTTTGACACACTTTTTAAAAGGAGGAGAGAATTCAGAATGGATTACCCTATCAGTGGCTTTTATTAGCTATGACTGTTAACAATAGAACTTCAATGAATGTCTTTAGTGAACAGAAAGAAGAACAATAGGTTTCTAGCTATCTCTGCCATGAGTTACATAAAACATTCTTGGAACATTGGCCTAGCTATTATTGTGTGGGTATAAATCTGTCTCCTCCAAAAGCATATTCTACAGTTTTATGAGCATATAACCCCTCTGATATAACCTGGGTGGGATCATGGGAGTCATAGTCAACCTCAAAGGCATCATAGAAAATGCAGGTCTAGCTCAAGCTGTCATCAACCCACCTGATTCTTGCTTTGCCTTACAGTGCTTCTCGGTGAAAAGGGAAATGATTATTGTGAGTGCCAAACCCCATGCAATTTGACCCGTTACAACAAGGAGCTGTCCATGGTTAAGATCCCCAGCAAGACCTCAGCTAAATACCTTGAGAAGAAGTTTAACAAGTCAGAGAAATATATCTCGTATGTAATCCTGGTTTAAACAGGGGTGGAATAATCATTTTATGAAGCAAAGTAAACTGAAAGGAGGTTGTGTTAATTACAAAATTTATAGTGGTTATTGTCAAGTATCAGTTAGAATTGGTTCATTTGGGATTTTTTTCAGGTATCAGTTTCCAGATTTGTTAGATTTCAGAATTTCAGAAGAATGATGTGTTACTTGCTACTAAGGCCAATAAATAAGCCACCCAACTGGACTTGGAATCAGAAATCCAATCATAAAAAGTTAGGGTTTCCAGAGTAGCAAACAAGGTTCAGTGCTAGAAGCAAGTGCCTAATCAACCATAGGTAGAAGACACAATCTAAAGTCTCCAGTTAAAGATCAGGAGATTCAAAAGTAGGTACACGGTCAAAACAAGCAGTAAATTAGATTGGTACATGATGCAAATGTTGTGTCTTTGTACTGTTCAGAAAAGATATATTGGAAGTCAAGATTTTACAGGATACTGTTATCTTGGGTTTCGTCCCTACAATCAATTATTGTGTCCTGGTAGGCTATTTTTGCAATCAATATTCCTTGAAGCCAAGGAGCTTTGTACAAATGGCCAAGTTAAAATCCACAGCCCCCAAACCCTATATTTTAGACCGTTGGTAAAATTATTAGCATGGATCTTCCAGATTCATTAGAGTCTGCACCTGACTATCAGTTTTGAGAATAGCGATAGCTTCAAAGAGTTCCTGCCTTCAAATCCCTGCCTCCATATCATTGATTATTGTGGGAAACAGAAAGGACTGACATTTTCCAAGCTGGTACAATTTTGTAGGACTGTAATTTTAAGCATTCTATGATTTATAGCACAAGCATATCTGGAAAGCACCAGTTTTGAGAAGGGAGATCAAACCTAGTGAGGCATGTCTATTGTTTACTGGGACTTTGTGGCATCTTTCTCCTCCTCCAAGGGGAATCAGAGTTGTCTATAAACAGCTTTTATTCTTAATCACCAGCACATTTGGAACAGGTATTCAAGAAAAAGTGGTAGATAGAAAAGAGTGAGTGTTCTGGTTATCAACAAACTATAAGGGAGGAATGGGATATATGGGACCCTCTGTACTGCTTGCATTATAGCAGTGGTTTGGTACAATGGGAATTTCAGTTAAATAACACTGGTATATTCCCCACCAATTACTTACTCTTAGGGAATGAATTGCCGCCTCCTAATGTCCTCTGGGCTACCTGTTTTCTTTCCTTAGGGAGAATATACTTGTACTTGATATATTCTTTGAAGCTCTTAACTATGAGACCATTGAGCAGAGAAAAGCATATGAAGTGGCAGCATTACTTGGTGAGTAAATATTCTGTGCATATACATAACACGATTGAAGCTCGTAGGCAATGTGGAATTCAGCCCCATGAGATAATCCTAGAGAACTCCTCTCAGTTGGTGAGGAGCAACAGGAAGCAGAAACAAAGCAACATGGACATACAGGGAGAAAGAGATACAAATCCAACAAACCCTAAGAAATATTGTAGGCAACAAATTGCTCTCATTATTTTGGCCATTGAATAAATCTGATCCAGGAGCCTTTAACATCTCTGGCTTACACTCTGGTCTACAGGTAGTTCTCGACACACAATCACAATTGTGTGTCGAGAACTACCTGTATTCTGAGACCAGAATTTTCATTATTAAACAACCCAATTGTTAAGTGGGTCACGGCCAATTTCATGACCTTTTTTGCCACTTTTCTTAAGTAAATCATTGCAGTTTTTAAGTGAATCACATCCATATAAGTGAATCCAAAGGCTCCCCCAGTGACTTTGCATGTTGGAAGCCAGCTGCGAAGGTCATAAAGCAACCCCATGACCCTGGGACATTGCAATTATCATAAGTAATTTTGATCACATGGCTATGAGATGCTATGATGGTTATAAATGTGAGGACCCATTGTTAAGTCAGTTTTTTTCAGTGTTGTGGTAACTTCGAACAGTCACTAAATAAATGGTTATGAATCAAGGACTACCTGCATTATTATGAGGCTTCTATGATGAGCTCAGAAAAATCTTGATTCCACCAGCTCAGAATCATAGTATGAATTCATGAAGTTTATGCCAGTCTATTCAGGGAAAATGGGGACATTGGAAAATTAAGATCTATCTGCTTGCACCGCTTTAAATATTCAAGGTAAATCTGTCAGAAGAATATCAGCCATGCCCACTATTCTTATTTTCTCTGTTGGGCCTTATCCAGCCTTGATCTGTAGCTTTCTTAATTAAGGCACAATAAGGCATATCTGAGATGGCAAGGAGGCTACAGTTCTTAGAATATAATGAAACAATAAAAGGAAAAAATGAAACATCATTCTTTGCCAAGCAGGCAAAGAAAGGTGAGACTAGAATCCATAACAGGAAAATTTATTGCATCAGATATTGGATTTATACAGGATTGCACCAATCTCTTAAAGGAGCCATATCTTTCTGTTGCTATATTTGAAATATTTGTTATTTTATATCGATTTCCATTAATAAATCAAGTTTCTTCCCAAATCCTCTGGCCCTTTTTTAGGCATCCTAAGTATGGAATTGCACCTCGAATCATAGAACCAGTAACTGAAACAATGTTGAAGAAGATGAGAAAATATGGGTTGCCATGATAGAAGCTCTGGTTTACCATCCATCCACCTAATAAATACTGGCTTAGGAAGTCAAATCCCAAACCTTGCATGAGATTTGGGTGAAAAGAAGACAGTTTGAGTTTTGGCTTGTGTGTCCAAAGCTTTTGTTGCCTGCATTTAATCATATCCCTGTTGTCATGGAGATGTGAGCCTTTTACTTTCTAAATAATAAACAGAGAGATTTCTTCCTGTTTGTATAGAGATCAACTGTGATAATGGCAGAAAAAAGAGGGGGGAGCGTATGTTCGTGTGTATACACTTCTACAACAGCTGTAGGGTTTCCCCCCCCCCCCCATTTATTACTTCTTTTCTTTAATCCAACTCATTTTTTTTTAAAAAAAATTACTCCAATACCTTATGACAATCCTGTGACCTGAGATCTTGCTCTGGGTAGGCTTTTGACCTGTTAAAACGAGCCATTATGTTTAAGCACCTGGCAGTTTAATTTAGTTTAGCTCTTTGTTAAACTGGGGAAGAGTGAAGTACTACAAGAATAACAGTAGGAACAGGAATGATCATCTCCGGAATGTTGGAGGAAATAAGTTGAAATTCTGACGAAGAGAGAGGAGTAGCTTTGATTTTGCCCCAGGAGCCAATCGATGCAGAATTTACACAGCTGTAATTGGAAATCTTTTTCTTTACAGCCAGCATAAAAATGCTCAAAATATGTATTTAGTTTACTTAGCTGAGGGCCCTTATTTCCAGATTGGGTCTCCCAGTCCAAGCAATTTACTTTGATGTGCACCAAAATATAAGATTAAAATGTCTATTTTTGTTTTTTTTCCCCTTTCTTCTCCAGGTGATATTGGGGGTCAGATGGGTCTTTTTATTGGTGCTAGTATCCTCACTATTCTGGAAATATTTGACTATATTTATGAGGTAAGCTGCAGCCCTTTCCATGAGGCAGTGAATAATGTAGTCCAATGGCCATGTATTTTCATGCTGAAGGGATGCAAGGACAGACTTCATCCATGGGCCTATTTTGATCCAATAGTATAGTAAGCTCTGGAAACTCTGTTTCCTGAATTTACATTTTGGAATTTTGAAACATAAAATCTAATCACCAAATTTTACATTTCCTCTACAAGGTTCAAAAATGCCAAGGTTTAGAATATAAATTTGAATCCAACAAGGTAGCACAAATCCTGATGCTATTTCTTTCTGCACACACAGACTAGTATGCATTTGAATTTAACTTTAAAAAGCACTCCCAAGTAAGACATTAAATACATATTTTATGTTAACATAAATGTGTGTGTGTGTTGGTATCTTGGTTCTCAATCACTTTGAAACTCATTGAATTGGGTATTCAGCACGCACACACACACACACACACACACACACACACACACTCCAGTGGTTAACGACAGCCTAATGTTTTATCTGATTTGGGATGAAGTGATGACAGGTTGGCCGCTGTTATGAAAACTTTGGGCATGTTGAACCTATCTGAAGGATTAAGCAGCTTTTATCTTTGTTTTGCTTTTCATCTTTTGGCATCAGAAAATTGCATCTGTGCAAAGGCAAGCAGAGAGAGAACAGGAAAAGGTATCCAGGTGCTCTAAGCAGCCTGTGGATTATCCATGTCTGCTTTGCAGAGTCATTATAAGAAAGCACGTTCCTGGATAGGCTGGTAGCTGTTAACATTTGCTCACACTCGCTGATTAAGGGGACAGGGGTTGCAGCATAGATAGAAAACAATACCACAACTTCTGCCTGTTTTCTAAGCTAACACTCCTGATTTGGAGGTGTTTTCCCTGCTTCTTCTGGATGCCCACCCCCAGCAACAGCAAATAGCATGATCCTTATGTTTAATTACCCCATCTGAGGTACCAGGTTATGCAGAGAGAAAGAGATAAAAACTGACCCAGAGTTATCCATGAAGATTATGTTGCTGGGTGAAGATTGAATCTGTGTTTTCCTAATCCACATGCAGCACCTTAATGCCAACATCACACTGGCCATCACAAAGGATTTCTTTCTACAAGTGTGATCAATGTAGTTTGCTCATTATTGTCCACATGAAATAAAAGAATTTTCTGCATGGAGATTCTGGGACTTCAGCCTGAAATCTACTCTATGAAAAGCAGTGATTCTTACATTCAGAAGTAACCCTCTTTCAAATCTCACAGTATTGTTCATGTGGGAAAATGTGCTATACATTGCTTAGGATCCTAGAGAAAAAGTGTGATATAAATTTAACAAAAGAAGTGAATAACAAATTGGGCTGGTTGTATATAGTAAGGTTAGTATGTTTTGGCTACTGGTATCTCTTACCCCAACCCCAACCCTAAACTCTGTCTTTTGGGGGGTTCCCCAGTATGGAGACAGCCAGCCATAGATGTGAGATCTTGATTCCCACATCCTAACTTTACTATATACAACCAGCCATTGGTGGGTTTCAAAAATTTTACACTGTGGGTGTGGCCTCTGTTATACCCTCATAAGTCCTCGGACTTACGAATGACAGCTCGGCAGCAGCCAGGTGCGTCTTAGCCAATCAGACGCGCCTGCCGGTTGCCGGGCTGTCATACGCAAGGCTATTGGCTCGTCCGTCTGACAGCTCAGTATAAAAAGCTGTCAGATGGAGGAGAGGTGCCAGTCTACTTACAGTTACTGTTCTTGCCTGTAATAAACTGTCTTGAAGGTTACCTCAGACGCCTCTTCGTCTTTTCTGCCGCCGATCTAACACTGGCGACGAGCGGTGGGATCTCTGGCTCTGAGCACGACCTAGAGGGCAAGCAACAATCGTGTTAGGCGCGTAGACCGGACAAAAAAACCGTGCCTCAAATCGCCTTAGCCGCCTTGCCAAATTGCCTCAGCCACGAACCGTTATGGCCGGCATGCCAGCCTTCGCTCCGTTCGGAGTTGCCAGAGAGTCCTGGGCCGCATTTTTAGAAAGATTTGAATGCTTTCTCATCGCCAACAACCGGCAAGGCTACTCTCAGGCCAGAAAGTGCGGATTTTTCTTAACCGCCTGCGGTCCTGAGATGTTTGCAACAGCCCGCTCATTCGCTGCCCCTAGGTCTGTATATGATCTGACTTGGGAAGAATTAACTGAAGGGCTCCAAGCCTACTATGCCCCAACCTCATCTCAGATCGCCCGCCGTTTCTCCTACCGCAGGCGAGTGCAGAAGCCATCCGAATCAGTCCATCAATTCTTGCAGGCTCTGCGAGTCGCCGCGGCGCAATGTGACTTCCCTGACTTGGAAGACAACTTAGCTGAGCAATTTGTGTGCAGCCTCAAGGACATATTCCTGAGGCGCCGACTCCTGGGGAAGCCTAAAGTCACCCTAGTCTACGCCATTGACGAAGCCAGAGCCGCCGAACTTGCCGACCTATCCTCAGTAGAGATCGACCGTTATCTACCTCACGCGGCCGCTTCCTCTATTGTGCCTGCCTTGCCTGCCTTGCCAGTCTTGCCAGCCTTGCCGGGGCCTGATCCCGCACCACCACAGCCTTCTACCTACATTACTAACTTGATAGATGAGCTGGCACCCTTGCCGGAACAATTCTACATCAACCAGGTGGATCGCCTACGGGCCACCCCTCGCCGTCCTCAACAACAGCAGCCAGCGCTGATCCGCGCTCCTGCGGTCTCTCCAGCTTGCCTAGGTTGCGGAGGCTCTCACTCCCGGTCTACCTGCCCTTTCAAGACCGCCGTCTGCCGCCGATGCGGCAAGAAGGGTCACTTGGCGCAGGTCTGCCGGGCCGCCCTGCCTCCTCTCTCACCAGCCGAACAACCTCCAGTCTATGGTCCTCCTCCTCCTCCTAAGAATCACCCGTCCAGGCGGCCGCAGCCGCGCCGTGAAGATTGCTATACACTGACCGAGGGTGTGCCTGCCACCCCTGCGGTGTCAGTCAACCTGGCATCAGAGGGTACGCAGAAGATCACCATTACAGTCACCACTGAGAGCTC